TTTATTTATTTGAGAGAGAGAGAGAGAGCGAGAGAAACAGCATGAGAGGGGATAGGGTCAGAGGGAGAAGCAGGCTCCCCGCCGAGCCGGGAGCCCGACACGGGACTCGATCCCAGGACTCCGGGATCATGACCTGAGCCGAAGGCAGTCGCTTAACCAACTGAGCCACCCAGGCGCCCCAAAATTAACAATTTTAAAAATCACAATAAAAAAATCTCAAATCCTCTAAAACACTCTTCAGGTTATATCCATAGGTTTTAAAGATGTCCTCAAACAATTTTAAAAAGTTATCTCTTTTTAATAAAACATACATGGCTTACTTAAAGTCAACTAGTCTTTGCATTTAAGTTCCAAATGGTTTTGTCTTTACCAGCATAGTTAAAATCATCACTACAGAAAAACAGTAGAGAGTTTTGGGTGGTGGTAGCTGTTTCTCATAGATTGGTAAATTCCAGCTTCATTTATCATATTTAGCCTAAAGAGATTAAGTACCTCCTGCTACAAACCTTCTCATATTTGAATTTTCTTAGTTATTCCCATACCAGTTTGAATCCATCCTGAGAGTTAGAGGGAAAACTGGCAAAGACACTGGACTCTGGGTGTCCTGAAAAGGGAGGGAATGACCTGCTATTAATGCTTTGCAGCCCAGGCCATGAGCCCTGCTGCCGCCTTACACGCTCAAACTGCTTTCATAATAGTGTGGCATTATCTAGTGATGATGACCTATACTCACATTCCTAGATGCAATGTTATTTAGGGTAACACTCGGTCACCTAGCCCAATAAAGCATATAAGAATAAATGCTCCACAGCAGCGTTGTTGGTATTAACCTAAATCTGGAAAAATCCAAATGCCCATCAACAGTAAAATGGGTCAAGTCTAGCCTACTCATAGAAAAGAGTACTCTACAACAATATGAATAAAACTACAGCTAAACAAATTGAAACAATGTTTCTCACACAAAAGTGCTGAGGAAATGATGCAAGTTACAAAGGACTAGATCCTTCTACATCAGTTCAAACACAGGTCAAACAAATGATTATTATTTTTTTTTTTTAAGATTTTATTTATTTATTTGAGAGAGAGAATGAGAGAGAGAGCACATGAGAGGGGGGAGGGTCAGAGGGAGAAGCAGACTCCCTGCCGAGCAGGGAGCCCGATGCGGGACTCGATCCCGGGACTCCAGGATCATGACCTGAGCCGAAGGCAGTCCCTTAACCAACTGAGCCACCCAGGCGCCCAAACAAATGATTATTTATGAACTCACATATGGGTGGTAAGGCTAGAGTTACAGTCAAAAATTACAGTCACAACTAAAAATGATATCAATGATAATAAAGTCACCATCAAAGGGAAGAGAAAGATATGGAGTTGGATAGAAGTCATCTGAGGTTCTATCCAGGTTCCTTAACAAGGGTGTCAATATACTGACCCTTCACTTTTTCATTATTCTTTATTATTTTTTTTCAAGAAACACATTTATTTAGATTTTCTTGGTCACACAGAGATATGAATATATCTAATGAACATTGTATTGTACATCATATCACTGTCATTTATGTATCTATGACTGGAAAAAACCCAGTACATTGGTTTTACATAGTCTTAGAAGCTAGTCCAACTTAAGTCCTCAGTGAAAGCTTGTTGAGTGAAATAACGGCACTGCCAAATGATTGTCTAGTCCATATTTAAACCTACAATCCCTTCATGATTTTGAATGCTCACCATCATGGCATTACAGAATTTGTGTCTCCTTAGTGCCCGCAGTTCTTGCTCAGGCCACTTCGAAGAATGAAGAGGTATACCAGACGAAGAGTGGTAGGCAGCAAAGCAAAGTTTACTGAGCAAGAGTACAAGGCTCCTGGAGAGTGGGGGCCCGAGTGGGTTGCCCCTGGAGTTTCTAAGTTTAGGGGGTTTTATGAGCTCTTTTGCTGAACTATCTTAAGCAATCAGTGTGTGCTGAGTCGTGCCAATCAGGGCTTTGGTCACGTATCTGTCTACCTATTAGGTTCATGTCCATGTGCTGATTGTCTTTTTTTTGGCTGACATCTGGGGGCTTAGGTCTTAACTGCCCCTTGCCCATGATATTGACAGATGTTTTTGTGGTTAATTGTCTTATTTTAGGATGTTTTGCAGAAATCATTTCTGCAAAGGCTACAAAGCAGGATGTCAGTGTGGTCCTGTCTAAGCTGCAAAACAGGATGTCCATGTTGTTTTATTTTAACTGTCCTGACTCCGTATTTTCTTGTTGGGGACCCTGGTCCTCACTACCTAACTGTCCAACTAACTCTTAACATTCCCCCCTCTGAAGACGTAACCCTAACTGCTGGTAGGGAAAGGGGGCGATGACCAGTCTAACTGCTTCCTGCTGGTTGGAGGCCATGTTGAAGAATGGCAGTCAGGGTTTCATCCCCAGAGGTCTATCTAGTAGACCTGGTAGAAGTTGGTAGGGGCTGTCTCCATTTGTGGCTGCACAGACAGGACCATCTGTAGCCTGATGGACTCTAAACAAGAAGAGACAAATTAGATAAGGGCATTTAGAATATAAGGTCTGGAAAGGAGTAGAAGGGAGATGACTAATAGTGGGGCTCCTATACCAACAACACAGGTCAGGTGGTCTCTCATTTGGATTTCTCAGATAAGCTGGTGGCCCAAGTAGATGACCTCTCCTCTTTGTGGCTGTCTCTCAGGGCACAGCTGTGAGAGAAGGCAAAAATAAATAAAATTAGACATGTGGTAGCAGAATAATGGTCTCCCAAAGTGTGCATATCCTAACCCCCAGAGTCAGTGACTGTGACCTCACATGGTAAAAGGGACTCTAGACATAACAGTAGAGAGGAAGGCAAGATGGTGGAAGAGTGGGGGACCTTGTTTCATCTGGTAACTTGAATTTAGCTGGATATCTATCAAATCATTCTCAACACCCAAAAATTCAGCCTGAGATGTAAGAAAATATATCTGGAACTCCACAAGCAGAAAAGCAACAGCTTCTTGCAAGGTAGGAGGTGCGGAATCATGAATCTGTTGGGGAATATTGGAAGATAATCGAAGGGGGGAGGCAGCCTCCATAAGCTGGCTACTGGAAAGTGATATAACACTGGATTGCAAAATCAGAACCCTTAGAAATCTGCTCCAGTGAGAGACATCCTTTTCTGAAAGAGACTCAGGGGATGAAAAGGGCAGAATTCTAGGTGGGTCACTGTGGTCTCAGGATCCCAGGAGACACAGAAAGGACCCGGGTGCCTGAATCGATAGCGTGCCCAAGCAGCGGAGCAGGGAAACTGGTTATGGTCAGTGAGCCCAGGAGGGATTCTCAGGTCCGGTCGCCATAAACCAGGAGATGGGCCGGTCAGGAGACCACTCTTTGCCTAAGCACCCTGTAAAAGACTGGAACTTGCAGGCTGTTTACCATCCCCTGGGAGGGGCAAAACAGCTGCAAAGCAGGGTACATGAGGGAGCTCACAGTCCGAAAGACACAAAATGAAGTGACGGCTCACAGGTCCCTGGACTCCCCCAGGGAAGATTGCAGTAGAAGAGAACCCCAGGAGTCTGCAAACTTTGGCGCACACAGAAGTGGAAACTCTTTAACCTGGAGGGTTTACTGAAGGGGGGACCACAAAAGTGTGGCTCTGGGCTGGAGATCTGGGCAAGGCCATTTTTGCTCTGACCCTCTGAAGTGGTGCAGAAAGCCTCCAGGGAACAAAAGCCACACAGACAACAAGCTTACATTCAGCCCATCCCCCTGACAAGGGGTGGGGCAACTCCGCCCAGGCAAAGACATCTGAAAGCAGCACTGCAGGCCCCTACCCCAGAAGACAGACTGGAAGAACAGGTGAAAGACAAGCTTAGGGATCCCACAAAACTGTAAAACTCCAGCACCAGGCAAAAATAGTATATTGAGCTCCAGGTGTTTCCTCACGATTCCTTTATCCTTAACTCTAAAATTTTTTTTTTTTTTTACCTTTTTCCCATTTCAACTAGATTATTTTACCTACTTAGGTTTTTAAATCGTTTTCAACTTTTATTTTTTCACATCTACATTTTTATAGATATATGCTTCAATCTAGTCCTTTTTTCATTCTATTCAATTTTGCAAAAATTGCAAAGAAAGCAAAACTTACATATATATATATTTTTGGGATGTAGGGTCTTCTAACACATAGACCAAAATTCAATCAGGAACAAGTGGATATCCCTGCTTTGTCCACCCTGTGATATTATAATCTCTCTTTCTCCGCCTTTTACTATTGTTTTATTTCATTTTGGCTTTGTTTGCTTTTCTGTGGTGGCTTCCGAACACTTCGGATTTTTTCTAGGGTGCATTCTGCTTGAGTCATGGTTGGTATTTTGGCCTCTGTTCATTCGCTCACCCATCCTTCCCTTGGACAGAATGACTAGAAGGAGGAATTCACAACAAAGGAAAGAACCAGAGGCAATGTTCTCTGCCACAGAGCTAATCGATAAGGATATAAGAGGTCAGAGATGGAATTCAGGATAGCAATTATAAAGTTAATAGCTAGGGGCGCCTGGGTGGCTCAGTCGGCTAAGCAGCTGCCTTCGGCTCAGGTCATGATCCCAGGGTCCTGGGATTGAGCCCCGCATCGGGCTCCCTGCTCAGCGGGAAGCCTGCTTCTCCCTCTCCCTCTGCCTGCCACTCTGCCTACTTGTGCTGTCTCTCTATCTCTCTGTCAAATAAATAAATAAAATCTTTTAAAAAAATAAAGTTAATAGCTAGCCTTGAAAAAAAAGCATAAATGACAATACAGAATCTCTAAGGGCAGAAATGAACTCTAATCAGGCCAAAGTTAAAAATGCTATGAAAGAAGTGTACTAAATGAGAAAAATAGGCAGCCAAGAATACTTTATCCAGCTAGGCTGTCATTCAAAATAGAAGGAGAGATAAAAACCTTCCAGAACAGGGCGCCTGGGTGGCTCAGTTGGTTAAGTGACTGCCTTCGGCTCAGGTCATGATCCTGGAGTCCCTGGATCGAGTCCTGCATCAGGCTCCCTGCTTAGCAGGGAACCTGCTTCTCCCTCTGACCCTCCCCCTCTCATGTGCTCTCTCTCTCTCTCATTCTTTCTCTCCCAAATAAAAAAATAAAATCTTAAAAAAAAAAACAAACCTTCCAGAACAAATAGAAACTAAAAGAATTTGTGATCACCAAACCAGCCCTACAAGAAATATTGAAAGGGGTCCTCTAAGCAAAGAGAGAGCCCAAAAGTAACACAGACCAGAAAGGAACAGAGACAATATACAGTAACAGTCATCTCACAGGCAATACAATGGCACTAAATTCATATCTTTCAACAGTTACCCTGAATATAAATGGGCTAAATGCCCCAATCAAAAGACACAGGGTATCATACTGGATAAAAAAGCAAGACCCACTGATATGCTGTCTGCGAGAGACTCATTTTAGACCCAAAGACACCTCCAGATTTAAAGTGAGGGGGTGGAAAACCATTCATCATGCTAATGGACATCAAAAGAAAGCTGGGGTGGCAATCCTTACTATAATAAGAGATGAGGAAGGACAGTGTATCATACTTAAAGGGTTTATCCAACAAGATCTAACAATTGTAAATATTTACGCCCCTAACATAGGAGCAGCCAATTACATAAGCCCATGAATAACAAAATCAAAGAAACACATCAACCATAGTACAATAATAGTAGGGGACTTTAACACCCCCCTCACTGCAATGGACAGATCATCTAAGCAAAAAACCAACAAGGAAATAAGGACTTTAAATGACACAGTGGACCAGATGGACTTTACAGATATACTCAGAACATTCCATCCCAAAGCAATAGAATACACATTCTGCTCTAGTGCACATGGAACATTCTCCAAAATAGATCACATCCTGGGTCACAAATCAGGTCTCAACTGGTACCAAAAGACTGGGATCATTCCCTGCATATTTTCAGTCCACAATGCTTTGAAACTCAAACTCAATCACAAGAGGAAAGTTGGAAAAAACTCAAATACATGGAGGCTAAAGAGCATCCTACTAAAGAATGAATGGGTCCACCGGGAAATTAGAGAAGAATTTTAAAAATTCATGGAAACAAATGAAAATGAAAACACAACTGTTCAAAATCTTTGGGATGCAGCAAAGGCAGTCCTAAGAGGAAAGTATATAGCACTACAAGCCTTTCCTAAGAAACAAGAAAGGCCTCAAATATACAACCTAACCCTACACCTAAAGGAGCTGGAGGAAGAACAGCAAATAAAGCCTAAACCTAGCAGGAGAAGAGAAATAATAAAGATTAGAGCAGAAATCAATGAAATAGAAACCAAAAGAACAGTAGAACAGATCAACGAAATGAGGAGCTGGTTCTTTGAAAGAATTAGTAAGACTGATAAACCCCTGGCCAGACTTATCAAAAAGAAAAGAGAAAGGAGCCAAATAAATAAAATCATGAATGAAAAAGGAGAGATCACACCCAACACCATAGAAATACAATTATAAGAACATATTATGAGCAACTATATGTCAACAAATCAGGCAATCTCAAAGAAATGGATGCATTCCCAGAGATGTATAAACTACCAAAACTGAACCAGGAAGAAATAGAAAACCTGAACAGACCCATAACCAGCAAGGAAATTGAAGCAGCAATCAAAAATCTCCCAACAAACAAGAGCCCAGGGCCAGATGGCTTCCCAGGGGAATTTTACCAAACTTTTTTTTTTTTTTTTTAAGATTCTATGTATTTATTTGACAGAGAGAGACACAGTGAGAGAAGGAACACAAGCAGGGGCAGAGGGAGAGGAAGAAGCAGGCTTCCCGCAGAGCAAGGAGCCTGACACAGGGCTCGATCCCAGGACCCTATGATCATGACCTGAGCGGAAGGCAGACACTTAACAACTGAGCCACCCAGGTGCCCCTCTACCAAACATTTAAAGAAGAATTAATACCTATTCTTCTGAAACTGTTCCAAAAAATAGAAATGGAAGGAAAACTTCCAAACTCATTTTATGAGTCCA